GCTTATTTCTTAAAAATATATGATTATGATATCTGAAGCTTATTTCTTAAAAATATTACTTGAAAAAAGTTGGCAGATCGAGTTGCTACAGGGAAGCATGCGTCTAGTTGACATCTTTCGCCCAGTACTCTCAAAATATAGCTATTATGACATCACTTTAGCTGCTTTCACTCAAAATTTGTGTGTTTGACAAGCCTAGATTTTGGTCACCGGCAATTTTGCATTGAATTTTATTATATCAATTATTTGTGTTATTTATTTAAATTATTTCAAGCACTCTCTTTGCCGCGAGGAGACTTTTTATGTTTCAATTTTGTGCTGAAAAAGTGCATTTTAATCACGTGGTCGTACATTTTTTGTTAGCAAATTGTGCAATGCTCTCTGTTTTACTGTAATTTTTATTATTATTATTGTAATAAATTTATTAATTAAAAAAATTTTTTTAACCAAATAATTGTGTAATTAGTAAAAATGTGTCAATATTGAAGAAAAAAAAATATATATATTATACTGTTTTGTAACTGTTTTAATGCAACAAAAAACAGCAGAAAATTAATAATTTTATATAAAACTAAAATATATGCTTGCAAGCGTGTATTTATGTCAAAAAATAATTTTCAAAAAATGTAAAAATAATTATTTTACTTATTTGTTGCAACTACATGCAAACATAGTTGGTATATATCAAAATAAATTGCTAAATTATTATGATTACGAATATTAAGACAAAAAGAACTTACAACTACCGCTACTACTAATACATACAAAGCTCAACCACCCCACCCCGTATAACCCGCTTAGAAAAAAGTAATACAATTTTAAATGCTAAAAATTACAACAACAACAAACTTACACCTTAACCAAGAAATGCATCTGAATTTATACAAACATAAATACACATACATACAAACAACGTATCAACAGAAAAAGTAAACAAAAACAAAAACAAAATCAAGCGACCCCCAAAACTGTGGAAAAATATAAATTAATGCAAGAAAAAAGCATATTTTACGGTAACAGCGAAAAGTACGCCTACAAAGCGTTCGAAAAAACGCTTAAAGCGCTACATACACACACATACACATGTAAAATATGTATGTGTGTACACAAAAAAGGCGTAAATGGTCAAGGGTGTACAGCGACAGTGACGCACGAAAGTCAGCAGACACGTTGATGCAGAAAATAAATTACAAAAAAAACAAAATTTTTTAAAAAATAATAAAAAATATTCAAATTCATGTATATACATACATACATAGAGACGTGCGCGCGGCGCGTGACCAGCGTCGCACGTGAATGTGAGAGAATTTTTAATTTACTTAGGTATTTGAACATTGAATATCATTGACTGAGAAAATACGTATAGTTCGTAAGCATAAGAAGTACTTATACATACATAGAAAAGCAAAAACAAAAACATTATTATTATGACTATAAGTATATATAATATATAAATATGTATGAAGCAACACAAATTTCAATAAAGTCAAGATACAAAGCAAAAACAAAAACAAAAGCATAAAATAACTTCATAACTAAGAGTAAATGCTGAAAAACGGTAAACAAGAAAAAACCAAAACAAATAATTAAATGGGAGCGAGAATTAAATGATGAAAATTAAACACAAAATTTGCATAAGTGTAAAATCGTAAATTATTCATGAGACAAATTTAAGAGAACTGCAGTAAAAACCAATTTACGAACGTAGGCAGATAAGTAATGAATAATGTAAACACAAACGAAACACATTCTCATCTAAATATTGTACATATAAATAAGTACAAGTGCAAGAAGATTAAATAAAACAAAAATAATGAAAGTAAATAAAGACAAAATTAAAGGATGCTCTGCAATAGCAATAAGTCCTTTGCATTTTATTTTTTATTCTTTGAAGTTATGGGATTTGGGAATTAGAAAAACAAACAATTAACAATTATTTTAAAAAAATAAAGAATAAATTATATAAATAAATTATACAAAAATATAAATTATAAAAAAATAAAAGTTAAATAAGCATACAATAAATACAAATAATATTTTTAATCTAAACAGAATAAAAAACAATTGGAAAAATTTATGACTCTGAAAAATTTCCGATTGCCTAAAAAAATAAAATTAGATAAATAATTATAAAATAAAAAAAAAAAATATTATGAAAAAATAATCAGAAGGATAATAAAATAAAAAACAAGAAATAAATTAAAAAATTATAAATATAAAAATTTGCTTCATAAAATATTAGAAAATAAATTATAAAACCATTAGAATTAAAAACAAATATATAAAAAAATTTATTAAAGATTAAAAAAATAATTTTTTTTTAATTAAAAAAATAAATTAATAAAATAATTTTAAAAAAATTAGTAACAAAATTAGAAATAAAAAATATTTAAAAAATTTTGTTTTAATTTCAAAATGATAAAAATATAAAAAACAAGAAATAAAATTTAAAAAAATGCTTAAAAAATAAAATTTTAAAAATTTAACTTAAAAGCATATATAAAAAATATATAAAAAATGTATAAAAAATGTATAAAAAATATATAAAAAATATATAAAAAATATATAAAAAATGTATAAAATAATATATAAAAAAATGCTTAAATCAGGTTAAAAACTATTTATAAAAAAATTAAAAAAAAAAATAATAAAAATATTGAAAAAGGTAAAAAAATTAAAAAAAAATATAAAAAATTTATAAAAAAATTAACAAAACAAATATAAAAAATTAACAAAAAAAAAATATATAAAAATTTATTAAAAAAATTAACAAAAAAAAAATTATAAAATATTTTAAAAGAAAGTTTAAGAAAAAACATAATTAATTTTGTTCTAATTTCAAAAAGACAATAAAATTAAGAAACAAGAAGTAAAAAATACAAAAATAAAACAAATTTAAAAAAATTTATAAAAAAATATTTTAAAAAAATTTATAAAAAAATATATTAAAATAATTTATAAACAAGGTATAACAGATTTATAAAAATTGCAAAAGCAAAATTTAAACAACTTTTTTTTTTTAATTTCAAAAAGATAATTTTATTATTAAAAAGCAAGAATAAAAAAAATTAAATTAAATAAAAAAAAATTTCAAACATTATCTAACAATAGAAACAAAAATAAACAATGGCACAAATTGTTAACCCTGCCACTGATAAAAATTTCCGATTGCTGTCTGCAAAAAACAACGTAAATTAGTAAATAAATTACACAACATACAAGTATGTATGTATTATAAAACAATTTTAAAAAATTTAAAAAAGGTAAAAAAAATTTAAAAATAAATTATACAACATATCAAATAAATTTTAAAAATTTTAAAAAAATTTTAAAAAAGTTATAAAAAAATCAAATAATAAATAAATAATGATAATATAGTTAAAAAACCAGAACTAAAATATATTCCAAAAAAATTTTTGAAATTAAATTGAAAACTAAAATTTAATAAAAAAAAATATATAAAACAAAAATTAAAAAATTAATAAAAATAAATATACGAGTATATAAATAAAAAACAAAAAATTAATAAAACAAAAAAAAGTAAAGCAAACTCGTATACAGATAAAATATATTTGGAGTAAACGCTTAGTTTTAACTTATGCTGACGAGCTAAAATATTGGACTTCAAATTAAAACTAAAATATAGGTTTTCCTAAATACAGAAAGCTCCGAAATAAGAGAAAATGGTCGAGTTCGCATGACGGTTGTTCTAAAGCGTTTTTATTGGTTTTGGGTTATAGCGAAATTCCAGGAAACTTCAAGGCTGGTAATCATGCAGTAAAGAATACGGTCCTTTCACTACTACAATACTATACAGTAGAAAGAAATACAAGTTAGTAAAGGGTTTAGGGAGTTTCTTGCACCCAGTAAGACAAATCCTTATCTTGACTATCCCTCTTTTGCAAGACAATAGTTAAAGCGAAATTTCTCTCCATTCTAAAATAAATATTTGCAATTTAAAAGTTCTTTTAGTAAATTTGTACAAAAAGACGGTTTGAGTACAACTAAAATCAGAATTTTAATCACGACTTTGAAATCTGCGATAAGCCCCGCTTTACAATATAACCATTACGCAAACCCTGTTCAATTAGTTGATCTACGTTATCTAACAGCAAGTTCAGTAAACTATAGCTATATATATTTCTGGCCTGATAATGAAAATACGAATATTTATCAACGAAAATGTTTTTTTTTGTTTTTTTTTTCGGTCGATTGCTGTTTTTTTTCGGGCTCATACGCATAGATCCATGATTCGTCACCTGTGACGATCTTATAAACGTCTTTTGAAGCACCGCGATCGTATTTTTTCAGCATTTCTTTACATTAATCCACACGAGCCTTTTTAGAGCGATCGGGATCCAACAAGAACAAACCTTTTTTACGGTCAGGTGTTCATGCAACATCGAATGTACGCTGGTGGGAGAAATGCATAGGCATGCCTTTATCTGAAGGTATGTTACATGACGGTCTTGCATTATCAGTTCACGTACGGCATCGATGTTTTCTGGCACAACGGCTGTTTTTCGACGACATTCACGGAATTCGTCTTTGAGCGAGCGTCGGCCACGATTGAATTCATTGTACCAGTTTTTCACAGTGCTATAGGATGGTGCTTCATAGCCATACAAAGATTTTAGTTCATCGATGCACTCTTGTCGAAAGTTGTGAAAAATGATCGCACGAAAATGTTCACAAGTTAATTCCATTTTTTGGCCGAGATGAATTTATTTATTCCCTGTAAATAAAACAATTCACGATTAAATGACAAAACGTTCTGAGTGATGTTATGCTAAAAAATGTCAAACTTTCCAATGGAAATGTCAGATTTCACCTGGCAACACTTAGTGTTACCTAGGCCAGCCAGCTATATAGCAGCCCTCGTAGAGCTGCCATACCGATAAAGTGATCTTAAATAGTTGTTTTTCATGGGACAACGGCGAATGTATGGATTCCGTTGAAGGAGAGAACGCATAACCATAGGAATCAGTTCAACGTTAGTGAAAACGCCGACCAGAATTGATGTCAACTTGGCAGCTTTTACTGACGATTTACTATAAAAACAACAACATTAATGAACCCGAACACCCATTACGAACGATGAACTTGAAAATAGCTTTAGCTCAAGCAAGCTTTATAACTTTATGGGATTATAGTCGCTTTCGAATTTCAAAAAATCGAGTTTTTTTCATAAAGAATATAGTTTTGGAGATGTGAGCGTAATACAGGGAAATCGGCTTCCAAAACATTAAACACCTTTTCCTCGAAACGCTGTTTTCAGAATAGGTAAGGAAAATTTCTCCAAAACGGCTGTACCGATCGAAGGATTAAGATTTTTATACGCTCGCAACATTTTGCTATAGAGAATAATAGTTTTGTTCACATAACGGTTGTTTGCATCGCCTAAAACTAATCGAGTTAGATATAGGGTTATATATATATAAATGATCAGGATTAAGAGACGAGTTGAAATCCGGGTGACTGTCTGTTCGTCCGTCCGTCTGTGCAAGCTGTAACTTGAGTAAAAATTGAGATATCTTTATGAAACTTGGAAAACATGTTTCTTGGTACCGTAAGACAGTTGGTATTGCAGATGGATGCATAATCGGACAACTGCCACACCCACAAAGCGCCATTAATCGAAAACAAATAAATTGCCATAACTAAGCTACACAAGAGAGGGGCACCTGCAGTTTAAAATTTTATTAAAAAGTGGGCGTGGTCCCGCCCCCTAATAGGTTTAATGTGCATATCTCCTAAACCGCTAAAGTTATAATAACTAAATTCACTGGTAACAAATGTTTTTAGCATCTCTATCGACGGTGTGAAAATGGGGGGAAATCGGGTGACAACCCGCCCACTTCCCATATAACGGTACTGTTAAAACTACTAAAAGCGCGATAAATCAAGCAGTAAACACGCCAGAAACATTAAAATTCATCTCTGGGATGATATGAGATGACTTTATAGGAACCGCGTTCAAAATTAGACAGTGGGCGTGGCACCCCCCACTTTTAGGTGAAAACCCATATCTTGGGATCTGCTTAACCGATTCCAACGAAATTCGGTATATAATATTCTACTCATATTTCTAAATTACAGTACGAAAATGGGCGAAATCGGATTACAACCACGCCTATTTCCCATATAATATCATTTTACATTCCACCTGATTCTTTCACTTTCCGTTTGACTTTGCTAGAGTATAAAATATACGGTTTCATCCGAACTTAGCTCTTCCTAACTTGTTGATAATAATTACGATTTTTTCAGACGCTTTGAAGCCTAAATTTTTTCACAAAAAAGATTTTTTTTTTTTGAAAGACGCGATTTTGTATAAATCGACATTTTGACTAGTCCTTCGACCTTTACCTGTATTCATTTATAGTAACAATACATTTTTTTTGAGGTTATTGGATTTGAGACAATTTTAAGCAGAAATTAATTTCTCACCTCTACACATTTTTTCGAGTCTTCTGGTGGAGGAGCCATGGGATCGAGGGAATGCAAAATTTTTTCAAAACCAATCGCTTTTTATTATTGTACATTAAATTCTGCAAATGTACTTTTTTTAAATAAAATGCTTTTTTTGTTGACTTGCAAGCGGATATAACAACTTAGGATAACAATGCTTACAACAGTTGAGTGCCCACAAGTATTGAATACGGTTTTATACCCGGCAGGGCTTAATAGCTCAGCAGCAGTACTCACAATTATTTGGCAAATGATTGCTGCCCCAACAACAACAGACCCAATCAAACAAAAATTTTCAAATTCGAGCATTTTCAGTTTTAATAAAAAAAAAAATATGCGATATAGAAATTCATACGTCATTTATTATACATATTTCAGCCACAAATCAGCAGCCTTTATTACACTTTTCGAGTTGCGAAGATTTGAAATAACAAACGATTTCGTTCGTAGAAACAATGACTGTGTAAAACTGTATATATTTTTAGAACTTAAATGCAAACTAACACACTGAATATGGACAAATGAATGTACAAATTTATTTACCGTTAAGCGTACATACAACTTAGTAAAGACATATGTATGGATTGGTATATAAAGTAGCAATATTTTGTACATTTACGCCTTGAATTGAACCGAGTTTCAGCATGGACGCAGCAGTGGCAGCAATTTTGAACAAACCTAAACTAGGCGAAATAATACGGTACACGGTATACATATTTATATAAGTAAATAATGAAGATTAAACAGCTACTTAACTACAGAGAGAGAGATGCAAATGTATGTATGTGTAACTTACAAACGAAGTAATTCAAGTGCAATAATTCGACGTGTCGGTGGACACATTGGATTGCTGGTGAAACGCATAGGCGTTAGAGTTACATATAAACGGCGATGTAGCGCATGTTGTGGTAAACTAACATACATCAATATATAATTTCTTGCCACTGAGTGTGTGTATGTGTGTACGCTCTGTCATTATATTATATTATATAATATTTTTTCAGTCCATATTTCTAACTATTTTTTTGCACTCTTCGCACTTTTCGCATTTTTTGCACTTTTTGCATTTTTTGCATTTTTAGTTGCCTTTTTTGCATCGGCGCGCTGGTGTACGCGCTCGTGACGACGCAAATCGCCCACCATGCGAAAACGTTTCGAGCAAATCGCGCACACGTTGGGCTTTTCACCTGAAATACGCAAGAAAATTGCATTAAAAATTTATTTTGCTAGAGTAAAGTACGATTTCGCAGCGTTACCGGTGTGTATTTTGCGATGATCCTGTAGATATGTACTCGCGCGAAATGCCTTACTGCAGAATTCACACTTGAAATTGCGTTCGCTGGTGTGTATGCGACGATGCAACACCAGCGAGTATTTACGCGAGAACGCTTTGCCGCAATATTCGCACTGATGGTTCTTATCATCGGTGTGTTTCGAGACGACATGATACTTTAGATCGCCCCATTGACGAAAATCACGTTGACAATATTCACATTTGTACGGCTTATCACCGGTGTGCGTGCGTTTGTGTGCCTTGAGCGCATTTAAGGCGTAAAACGATTTGTCACATGTGTCACACTGATGCGGACGCAGGCCAGTATGCGTGCGTAAATGATATTTGAGCGCATTACGCGAATTGAATTTACGTTCGCATTTCGTGCAATTGAATTTCCGTTGCCTGATTTCTAAGGCTTCGGCCAAGCCAACGTCTTCGCAGCTATCGTCTTCGTAGCCATCGTCTTCGCAGCCATTGTCTTCGCATCCATTATCGGGAAGTATTTCCTCCGCTGGATTGTATTCAACGAAGCGCACATCGTTGTCCTCATAATCATAGCTTTCGGGTTCTTCTTTGCAGAGCACCTCGTCCTCCTCCTCCTCTTGCGCCTCCTCCTCCACCGTCGCATTGTTGTCAACAGCGCTTGTTAGTTGTGTACTTTCTGGACGCACTTGTACGTCAGTATTTTGGGGCAAATCAAATTGTGACACATTTAACGGTTCCAATAAATCCGTCGTGGGCGTCGGCTCTTCAGGTGACGGACACTGTAATTGTGGCTCATCCGCATCAACACTGGATAAGCTTATGGGTGGTAATTCATCATTATAGTATGTGGCACCATTGGCTTCGTTTACAACTACAACATTGCCACCATTGTCAACAACGTCTTCATCATCCTCCTCATCATCATCATCCTCATCATCGTCTGCCGGTAGTTGTAGCTCCATTTTTTCTATATTACCATCTGACTTTTGGTATGAGAGTAGTTTTTCTGCCGGCGGTAGCGTGTTTGGCTCCTTCGGCGATGTATTGGTTCTTGTTAAAGCAGCGCTACTCATCATGGGCATGGGTGGTAGTGGTTCCGTGAACGAGACATCGCTATATGATTTATTCTTGAAGGTGATGCCGTTGAAGTTGTCATTAGTGAACCTATATAAACAAGTCAAGTTGAGGTTTCTTACTTAAAAACACGAAACAATACTTTACCATGAGCCACGCATGCCGTTTGAGGTCATCAAGTCTAGCGCATCGCAAGTGTCTTCGATGGAGACCTTGTCCACCACATTACGCATGCCCTCCAGCATATCCTCGCTGTCGCTGAATTCCACCTCAACAGTGCGCTTCAAGGGTGGCGTGGCAGTTTGTGCCACATAAGTCATACATTTACTCATATCCGTCGCGCTCATGTCATTGTTGCCATCATCTACTGTATTCAAGACATGACGCATTGGTGACTCGTCAACGCCAGAAAAGTCAGGGAAGTTCAGGTGCACGTCATTGAAGACTTGATCGACGTTACCGTTAGGGGACTGTGTAGAATTCAAGTATTTTGGAAAAAAAAAAACATTAAAAAAAGTGCACGGTTTGAAAATCTAACGTTGTATATGTTGTATACGACAGCGTTGCAGAGATTTCACTAACATTTTGGTGCATATTTTTAGGCGCACTTTTTATTACCCGCTACTAAAGAAATCTAAGCAAAATTTACGCACAACACTGCCACACACAAACACACTATCCTCAGCTATATTTCAAATTTTCTTACTTTCTTATCCGATGCCGAGATTTTCTGCGGCTCTAAAGCCTCCAGCGATGTCTTCATCGCTGCCAATATCGTGTCCGGCGTGGTGGGTTCATAGTGCTGCTTTAGATGCGCGAAGAATTGCAGCTGCGAATCCGAAGTATTGCCACAAATCTCACAACTATATACCGACACATTCAAGCGCCCCTCCTCTTGCATTTTTTGCACTTCAGCTGGCTGTGCCAATTCATTATCCGTGCCACTCAGCGATACACGTAACTTGCGTGAGATGCGTTTCTTGTGTGGCAGCACTTTGCGTGCATTCGACACATGACGCGCATATAGTACATCAACACTAACATTCATTAAGTCCGCCGCATCGTCTAAACTCACATTTCCATCGGCCAACAGGAATTGTTGCACTGCAGCATCATCGCCTGACTGATTGACTGCCTCCGACTCAACACAATATTCTTTAGAGGCACTGCCGTTAAGAAAGTCACCATTTAATGTTATATACTGCGTGTGTTTGTTGTGGCTATAGGCAGTAACATTGTTGTCAGATCTACTCGTGCCGGCAGTCAATACCATTGGCATTGGTGCTGCGGTTTGTGTTGGCGTATTCAAAACGCTTAGTGTGGCTTCTGCAACGTTAGTCACATTGCTTACGGCCACATCGGCCGGTGTGGGGCGATAATGGAAAATTGTATTCGGAAAATGCAGATCTGGTGTGAGTGTGACTGTATCGGAAACTTTTACATTATAACCACCACCACCACCGCCGCCGCCAGCGTCCGTTGTTGGCACTGCGTTGGCTGAGTTGACTAATGGTGTTGCTTCCATAAAGTCAATTAAGTAGTTGTTAGTGTCACGTATGTATGAGGGTGCTAGGAGCGATTGCAAGGGAAGATCCTGTAAACGTCACAATTAGCAATGATTAAACACTGTGGCACCTAACTTACATGATCAATGTATTCCGAATCCTTGCGCGATAGCGCCTGCTGTAACGGCGGTTCGTCCATTACCTTGCCGTTTTCTTTCTTCTTCGTCCGCGTTTCACTCCGGCTGTTAATGCGCTGTCACGTCGTTTGCATTGAAACTTACGCGACTTTGTTGGTTTTTTGGAACACGTTTTTAGTAATTTTAGCACTTTTACACACAATAAAAACTCAATAAATGTAATTATTGTAATTACCGTGTGTTGGGACAGAAAAATAAACACCCGATTACCATTGAATGCGAAAGTGAAAAGAATAATAAAATGTCAAAAATCAATTGACATTTCACCACAGTGAAGCCGAACAGCTGTGAATGGGAGAAGTGCTTATTCCCAGCAGACAATTGATATGTACAGCAAAGTTTACAGTGAGCAGCAACATTTTTGGTTTTGGTGAATTTGGCTGAGACAAATATATATACCTAATGTTCGGAACTATTGTAATTATTTTATTTAATACTAATGTAAACAATGGAAAATCTAATATTTTATAAGGTTTTTTAATGTGTAAAATTTTTGCTTTTTTGTTTTTATGACTAAGAATAATTTTAGATTACAGTTTAATATTATATTTTTGAGTAATTTAATTTATTGTAATTTCTAAAAGTTTCGGATAATAATACTAGACGTTAGCCTTGCTTAGATTTAAATTCATTCTTGTTCGAGTTTATGGACGCGTTTGTTGTTGTTGCGGCAGAAAATATTCCTCAAATTATCTAGTCGAGTTGACAGTATGTAGCCAGATAAAACTCGTGTCCATTCTCAGTAAATCAAAAAAAAACGTTAAGTGGCATAAAAGGGTACCTATTAATGCTCATACCACGGTATTCTAGCAGAGCTAAGGACCCAACGGATTGCCTTATTAGATGCCTAAGATGATTTTCGACTCTCAGAACTCTATTGGCTAGGGAATCGAGGATTTCAAGAACTGACAGAAGGGCCAGGTCCTAGGGTTAAGAGCAGCTCAATATTTAGACTCCGTAATCACTCTAATTAGCCTACGGAAAATTTGAATGCTTGTTCTTAATCTCGCCCTTGCCTTTGATGCTCTCAATAAATAGAAATATAAGTATGTAAATATGTACATATGTATGTATTTAAGAAAATTGTATTTTAGAAAATATTTTCCAGAATGACGTAAGTATGTTTGTAGAATAATGACGCACCTCTGTTCAAACTATATTTACGCACTTGCCCTACCAATCATAAACAAGTAAACAATAAACAATTAATTATGGAGAAATTTAGATACATGGCTATTGATCAAGAAATGGTACCGTGGGCACTCAATATATTAAACAAAAAATTAAGAAGATTTGTAATTCTTAAAATCTTTTTTAAAGTAACGCGAACTACCAAATTATTTTTTAAATTATTGTTTAATTTATTTAATCGATATTAAAAAAAAAAATATTATTATTTGCTTGTAATTTTTAAAGAATTCTCGATCTTGCAAGTGAACTCCTCTGTACTAATTTATCATAGCCCATTTTCTTTCATGTGCCGTTGAGGCAATCAAGCACTTCACACTGCCGGATTGGCTTGTCAAACAAATATCATTTCGCACAAATTTCTGATGTCGGCATGAATATTTCTATTGGATTCCGTTTAAGTAGGCGTTTTGATCTTGCCGTGCCACAGTTGAGGGGCAACTTTGATCATAACAAACTACTGAAAGAGCACTTGTGGCAATACGCGTAAATACATGATTATACCATAAAAGAAGCGTAAATACAAATCTACAAATGTGGCCCTTTCTGATGAAACTTTATTTAAAGAGTAACTGCTGGATAATTTTAGTGGCCACCACAGATCAGAGCTATGACTAGGTGACTAGATTTGGGTGGATTCAAAGTTTGGATTAGTAAATTTAAAGGAATTTTTAAGATGTTGTTCATCGTAGACAATTTCTTATCTTTGTTGCCAATTCTCCAGAAATTTAACGTGAAGTCTACCAAAAAACTCAATGATCAAAATAATACTTCGCAATACTCTGGCCATTTAGTTATAGTGAGTGTTTTGAGCGAAACGTCCAAAGTGAAGCTTACAAGAATTTACTTCAAACAAACCAACAGATATCTTGGAATCAAACTGGATAAAAATTAATACGGAGAGTTTTATAAACGGCGTCCGTTGATCCCGTAGCCGATCTCCAGGAGGACCTTCGAAAAAAGGTGTCTATGGTAACGTGCGAAATTTATATCAGTTTAAAATTATATCAAATTCAAAAACTAAAAAAATGTATTATTTCTAAAGATTATCTGTAGGTCGAAGGGCTAGTTAAATTTTTTGACAAAACGGTGGTTCAACAGAATAAAAAATTTTTTTTGTGACAAAATTTGCACTTCTGAGTGGCTTAAAAAAACGAAATTATTATAAAAAATTCCTTTGGATTTACCTAATACTCGGATAAATGTACATGAGATATAAACTAAAACATATAAATTTTTGGATATACACAGGGGTATAACCCTTTAAGTGGAGCAGATCGCACAAAACGGACTGATTAACGATGGACATTTGTTTTTTTATAAACTTGTCAGGACATTCGTCCAAACACATGGAAATCCTTCAGCTCTTAAAGCAATGAAATTTGCGTAAGCTGATGGAGGCAGAGAAAAATAAAAGGGTTCTCTCAGTTGAAAAGACCAAGTAGTATAAGTATAGACCAAGTATAAAAAAGAAACGACTGGTGTGTTTTGCTGGACTCCCACTCTTTATATGTAATAATATTGGAAAATAAATCATAATATTACAAATAATAGTAAATATAATTATAATAATTATTGCCTAAAGTTACAAGCTAAATATAACGAGCCGATACATACTTGTACATATATACTTATTAGGGTGGAGCGAAAAAAAATGTTTGTTTTTGCTTAGCCTGAGAGTAAAATTTGTTGATTATAAAAAAAGAAAATTTTTGAAAAACAAAACTCACTTTTAAAGTAAATTTCGAGTTAAAATTTTTATTTCGTAAAAAATGTTTGATAAGTGTTGTAGAAGCTGTGGAGAGTCCCTTTTCAGGCAAATAAAAAGTTATTCATTATTGGAGTTTTAAAAAAAAGTCTTAAAAGCTTTAAGTTTAATTTATTTATTTATAATTTTTAACCGTTAACATTAATTTTGAGTCAAAAACCATCAAATTCGTTAATTTTTATATAAATGTGAAGAGTTTAAACCAAAAAAACAATTTCTTTTGTCCAAAAAAAATTTTAACTCGAAATTTACATTAAAAGTGACATTTAAAAAAATTTTTTTTTTCAAAAATTTTCTTTTTTATGAACTACAAATTGTACCCTCAGGCTAAGCAAAAAAAAATTTTTCGCTCCACCCTAATACTTATAATACCTAGAAACCAAGACACTGAGCTGCAGTCTATATATCATATAAAAATTTTCTGGTATATTTACAAATTAATGTACATACATACATACGTATATATATATACAAATAAATATGTCCATAAACGCGAGTATTACTCATGTAAATGAATCTTCCTCGTAATTTGAATGTATCTAATCCCGTCAGCCACTTGAATTACTACTATGGTTTCCTTATGACAGCCACTTTCAAGTTTTATGAAGCCATAATAATTGTTTATTAAACATTATCGAATTGTTTGAGTGACTGTGCCGCTACCCAATCAGCATAAATGCGACTAATACCCGACAAAACGGAAAGGGAAACGAAATTGAGCAAGAAACTCGGCGAAGTGCTGGGAGGGATAGATGCGGAGCGGCAGCAAGTTATTAATGCCAAGGAAAAGTGACAGAGGGCTCATTAAAAATCAAGAGAAATTTATTTATCAGCGATTTGTATCAGTCCATGCAGTCGATATGGGTGTGCGTAGTGCTCCCGAATTGCCCAAATGTGCGCACAACTCAGTGAAACACTTAGCGAGTTTTTAAAATGCAATTTACGAGCTGTTACTTGTACAACTGTGGTGGCTGTGGCGGTTGCTGTGGTTATGGCTGTGTTGTTATTGGTATTTGTGTGATAGACGCATGTGTAGTAGAGGAAGTGCGGGTGGATGCTTAGTCGGCTTGTTTGTGTGTATTTATGTTCACACTCGATTGTGGCGTTAATCCAACCTTGGCGTTGCAGTCAGCCAGAAATTTTCGGAAATTATTTTTATTAGTGATGCAACACAGCTCACGAGGATTAGTGGAGCGATTAGCGGCAGCATAACGACGCTTGTGACCATATGGAGTATGAAGACTTGGGACCAAAAAAATATATATATATATGGAGTTTATGAGCTAGATGTAGCTGTCAACAGAACTATTGACAAATAATAGTCGGAGCGAATGAGTACGACTTTTGAAAATGATTTGTTGACTGTGGGTTAATTTGTAATTAGTGGGTTATGCAGGAAATAAATAAATACGTATGTGGATACATCTTTTTTAGAGGAACTAAGGTGAGATGGCGATGATGATGAGATTGAAATGCAACCGTACATCGTTTTACTCATTGCTTCGGTGAAATCTAGTTATGTACTAGCCTATTCCACTTTGATCTCAGGAAAACAATGCAGAGAAGATTCCAACAACTTTGTAGACAGTGCGATTTGTTTGCTGAACGACAAAACCATTGCGACACTTTTTATTTCCAGACGTTGTTTAGAATCTTCGACGTCGGGTTTCACTTAAATCAACGAGTAATCTAATCCCTTGCAAAGTTCTAAGCTCCGTTTCTTACATCCTTGACTCTAAATATAAGTCACGACCAAATTCCAGAATGGTAATTTTTCGATTGAGTCCTATCGATTTATATTAATACTGATATCGTCGTATATTTTGGTGCTCACCGAAATTGATTAGTCAGGACTCGCAAGTTCATAGTTCTTTCTTAACTTTTCGACCAGAACTCTTTTGATCTCGCACTTTCTAGGGATGGCTGTTCAATCGTTGATATGATATATTTAAGTGCTCTCAGCAAACTCTGGGACCAAAGCATTTATGGTACGGTTTATAAGGTACATGAAAAATGTTACCAGACCTTCTGAAACTCTTTCTCTTTCTATATACTTGATTTACATACATGTTCTCTAGTATATACCTCTTTACCGGGTTCAAAGCTTCTAGTTCACTATTCCTATCCTCATTACATTCCACGATTATTTTGTGTGGTTCAGAATCTATTTAATATTTGATTTCATGATAGATTTTGTTTCTAACTTGTACCGTGAATCTTTGACTGAAAGCTTTGACCAGTAGAAAAGCTTACTTCGTAAAAAAATTCTGTTTTTTATTATAAAATTGATTTTTATGCATTTTTCCAATT